CCTTTGACAATGCCCCGTAGAAGGCAGTCCCTCTCAGTGTTCCAGCAGAGCGCAGCGCTGCGCCAGTCCAGCAGGCATTTACCCGTCATCCATCTAGCAAGTGTCACCATGAGCCCACCACAGAGGAAGGCAGAAGCCCAGCCTTCGCGAAGCCATCAGAAGAACAGGAGGACACGTGTCAGTTGGACCCCAGGTCCTCAGCTCCAACAAGCACAGGGGTCAGGGGGGAGGTCAGGGGATGAGAGCCCAGATGGCTGGGGGAGCCAGAGCCCACCAGGACTACTGTGTGTCCTCCCTGCTGAGGCTGGATCTACCCTCTCTCTCCTGATCTTCTGCTCCATCAGTGTCCTGAGCTGATGAACCACCGCATGCTGCAGCAGGTGTCTGTGATTGGCCGTCCTGGGTGCCCAGGGCAGGTGCCAGGTTGGGGGCCAGCCATCCACGCTTCTGTGCCAGGCTGACTCCCACCCCGGGGCTTCTTCCTCTGCAGGGGCTCCTCTGACCCCCAGTCTGGGCCCCATATGTAGAGTAGGCACCAATTGTTTTTCTTGCCTTAAGCCACCCCTTTCCTGTAGGACAAGCACTTGCCCTTGGCATGGTTGACATATTTTCAGTGACAGAAGGTCTCTGTATGCCGCACACACTAGGACTGTGTAGAAGCTTCCAGTGTGGCCAGGTGTGGCTGGGGTACTGTCTGCTCTGGTCTGGCCAGGACATTGTGTCCTACTTTACTGGGTCCTGCTGACCCTACCCCATGTGTCTGTCATTCGGTGGTGGGCCAGAGGCTTCCTGCCCTGGGATCCTTGCTTGTCACTTAAAAATGAAGTCCCTGTAACTGCTGTAAGTTCAGAATCTACACGCAGAGTTTTCAGCAACTAAAGGAGGTTGCTTTTTTATGCATGTGTGTGTTTAACAAATGTTCATTTGGTGCTGGTCCGTGTCACTGGCTCTGGACACACAGCCTGTCTCAGGAAGATGGTTCTATAGGGAGAAGCAGACACCTCAGCAAGCATCCCGACAGGTGACCAGCCATGCTGGGGAACACAAGGAGCTGTAAGAGTCTGTTGGAGACATCTGCCCTCGACCCCGTGCTCCACAGAGCCTGAGTCCTCCTGCGGCTGGGGCAGGTTTTGCCCTCCTTTGGCTTCTGGTGGAAACTTGTCCTAATTGCATCCAAGTGGAAAAGGCACCCCCAAGGCCCACGATCAGAGCTGTCTGGCTCCCACCATGTGGTTCTGATAAACACCCTCTGGCCACCTCCCCTCTCCGCAGTGGCACAGCAAGAGAAGGGACGCTGGGGACCAGGACGCTTCGAGGGAAGGAAGACTCACTGGGACACGGCTTCTGACAAGCCCAGGACAGGTCTGCGTGAAGTGATAGGGTTAGTTCTGAGGCTGATCCTAAGTGTGTTGGATCTGGACTTCTGCAGAAAGTGCTCAGCAGGGAGACCTGGAGATGTGGGTTAGGAGTCGCTTGCTGGTCTGTCTAGATTCAGTAATGAAGAGGTCGTGTCCTTGCCCACGGCGGGCTGCACAGAGACCAGCTCGCCTTCCTGAGGGGGGCATCCCCGATTGTCCTTTGGGGACACAGGCCCCTACCTCCCTCTGTGTCAGCAATGGAGCCGATTGTGACCTGTGACCTTCGCGTGGCAGGTGCATGTTCACATCCAAAAACCACAGACCAGAGCCAGGATCAGAGGTGGAAGGGGGCCGTGTGACTTCATCCATCCAAGGAGGGGTCCTGTGACCTCGTCCATCCTAGGAGGAGTCCTGTGACCTCATCCATCCCAGGAGTGGTCTTCTGAGGTCATCC